GAGAGTCTGGAAAGTGATTGTTTGTGGTAGGCAGAATAATGACTCCCTGAGGATCTCCAGGCCCTAATGCCTGGACCCTGGGAGAATGTCACCTTCCACGGCAATAGGGACTTTGCAGATGTGACTAAGGGTATGGACTCTGAAAATGGGATATTGTCCTGGATTATTCGAGTGTGCCCAGTCAAATCATGTGAGCTCTTAAAGGCAGAGGCCTTAAAAAAATGGGCACGTGGATGATGCAGTTGGTTAAGTGTCTGACTCTTGATTTCAACTCGGGTCATGATCTCAGGGTGATGGGTTCAAGCCCCACGTTGACCTCCGTGCTCAGCAGGCAGTCTGCCTCTCTCTCTCTCTCTCTCTCTCTCCCTGTCCCCCTTCCTCTGCTCTCTCTCTCTCCAAAATAAATAAATAAATCTTAAAAAAAAAAAAAGGCGGAGATCCTTTCTCAGAAGGGTCAGAGAGATGAACCCAAAAAAGGAGAAATCAAAGCATTCAACCTTCTGCAGCTGGCTTTGAAGACGGAGGAATGGGACCATAAGTCAGGGAATGTGGTAGCTTCTAGAAGCTGGGAGTGGCTTCAGCTGACAGCTAGGGAACAGGGATCTCAGTCGTAAGCCTCAAGGAGCTGACTTCTAGCAGCATCTGCATGAGCAAGGAAAGGGCTGCCTTAGAAAGGAACACAGCTCTGGAGCCCCGGGGTGTTAGTCCCCTGACACCCTTGCCGGACTTCTGATCTGTAGGGCTGTGAGATAACACATTTGTGTTAAGTCACTAAATGGGGGTACACTGTCATAGCAGCAGCAGAAAAACTGTGTGAAGCTGCTTCATGTGGACTTGACAAAGCCCGTCTTCAGGGGGAGAAAAGTGCTGAGCTTTCTCCTTTCTCCTGCCCGGGGATGAAAAGATCTACTTGTGGCTGAAAATCCACAACACCTGTTCTCCCCCTCCCCACCCGGTGCAAAACGCCAAGTGAACGGGCAGAGCTGACTTAGTGAGTGGTTCTGAAAATAGAAACTGCAACGTGATTTTATTTCTAACTCCACAGACATCTCTTGTGAGTCATTCATCTTTCTGGGTCTCACTTTCCATGCCTGTGAAGCAGGCTGAGTTAACCCTGACTTCTGCCTACTCCCCAGTTTAGGAAGAGGAAAAAATCAGCTTCACGAAGAGAGCCAGAGGGTGCTGCTGGAGAGGTGGGAAGCCACCGATGCAGTCTGGGTCACGGGAGGCCCCAGGGGGCTTTGCTCCTTTCTTCTGGCTCCCTCCAGGGTGCTTGGGGCTCAGCTGGATCCCCGTGATGTAGCTTAGAGTGTCTTGTAGTTGCTGGGAGCACAGAAATGAGAAAAGCTTCAGGGAGGCAAATGTCAGAGGCCCAAATGGACAAGGTTTTAGGTTTGTGCATTTGGGGGGGGAGGGCAATACCCTTGCACCTGAATGAGACCAAATTGTTTGCATGATGGAAAGAAAGCGAAGCAATGGTCCAGATCAGACTAGAAGGTTACAGAGTCAGGACGAGCCTGAGATAAGGACTTTGAAAGTGAGGGAGGAGGATAGAGAAATGAAAACATCACAAGATCACCGTGTGGGAGTGGAAGGACCAGTGGGGAGAACAGAAATGAACATCCTAGGTTCATTTCACGACAGTCCTCAGACCCCCCGCCACACCTAAGGGGGCGCACGCATTTTCTTAACGAGCTGCTTGTAACTGGGGCACCCGGGTAGCTCAGTCGGTTAAGTGGCCGACTCCTGCTTTCAGCTCAGGTCATGATCTTGAATGGCTGGATCAAGCCCCCTGTGTGTGTGTGGGGGGGGGGTCTGGGCTCAGCCGGAAGTCTGCTTCAGGATTCTCTCTCCCTCTCCCATGCTTGCAGGTGCCTGTGGTCTTTCTCTAAGATAAATTAATAAATCGGTTTTTTTTAAGATTTTATTTATTTGACAGAGAACGCAAGTAGGCAGAGAGGCAGGCAGAGAGAGAGAGAGAGAGAGAAGCAGGCTCTGCACTGAGCAGAGAGCCCGATGCGGGGCTCGATCCCAGGACCCTGGGAT